TGTTTGCCTAGAGATTATTTGAATTGCAGGTTGTTGTGAGTGATTTTTGGGCAATTGGTTTTATTTTTTGGTTATATGATTGTTTGCCAAGAGATTAGCTAAATTGCAGGGATTTTTGGGCAATTGAATTAGTGAATCGAGCTGAGTTCCATGAAATGTATTTGCTGGGTTCTGTTCTCTCAAACAATCTTGAAAATGGAAAGAACACGGAAAAGAATACGGAAAAGAATAAAAACAGTGGGTTTTATTCTGTCGAACTTAAATCTTAAAAATGGAAAGAGCACCGGAAAAGAATAAAAACCGCACCGGAAAAGAATAAAAACAGTAATCGATGGGGAAAGAAGCAATTCTTAATGGTGATGTGGGACCCATTGAATGGATTTCGTGCGGTTCCGCCATGTGACATGGCAAAAGTGTTACGCAAATCATCACCTTTTTAAATTTTGCTCTCCACATCATCAAAAAAAATATAAAAAATGCCACCTAAGCAGGGTTAACGGCTCAATCTAACAGAAGGACTAACGGAGTGCATTTCGTATAGTTGAGGGATCAAAAAAGTGCAAAAAATTGTTAAGGGACCAAAAATGTGCAAACCACTAAAGTTGAGGGACCAAATCTAGCATTTAACCTTGTTGAAAGATGCATCAATATTTAACAAAAAAAAAAATTGGGTTCCATTTCTAAGGTGAGGATGCATCTATCCCATAACGAATTGAGGATTGAGTTTTATACTCTTAATGAAATTTGTAGCTCATAGAGTGGGGTGTCTTAGTTATGGGAGCACCCTTGACAACTTTCACCTATATGGGTGTCGAAGTGAGGCTGCTTCTATGAAAATTGGATGGACAATTTTCTAGATCACCCATAAAAATCGGGATCATGCGCAAGGCCATAACGCGCTAGCTATATGAAAAACTCAACATTCGAATCATTATGTGTGTGATACAATTCTTGTATCTTCCAATGGAGTCATAGTTCAAGACTTAGTTCACTATTGACTTTGGATTAAAAATTATTGACTCACTAAATAAAGATTCAAGGTTTAGCTACCTTTATTATGCATAATAATCCATCTTTGTCCAAAAGAAAAGTTTAATTTTTATTAAAATAGTGGGGGAATTGTTGGAACTTAAATATTTTAATAAAAATAAAATAATATATTTTAGAAATTAAATTTATTGTCCCATTAAGCACTTGGTCAAACTAGCCATTGTAGGTTAATTGTCTTATTTAATGGCACATTATTTCATAATAATTGCCAAATTTATTCCTATCATTAATTTACAAATGGGAGTTATAAGACCATGAGTCCTATAAATAGGACATGTCCTTTTACTCAATAAAGAGGTTCCTCCACATTCATCTATTCTTTCTTACCTTACTTTATTTTCTAAATATTTTTGGGTAAAGAAGGGTATTTTGAGTAAGGTGACTCTATGGGTAGTGCAAATCCATAGAGTGTTATTATAAAACTGTAGCATTTTGGGAGCGACATGTTTTATGTATCTTTGCTGTACCGGTTGATCTATTCTCCGCAGAGGCGTTAATTACCTGAAAATAAGTAAACTTTTCACGTCTATTTCGATGATATTTTCTTATTGATATTTTTTGATAAATTCATTAATTATTATTTTATTTGATCTTGTAACCGATGCACAACAATAACATGATGTGGAGATGGAGGAGAGTGTTCGAGGAACATATATAACTTTTGCAATTCTCTGTTTCCTGAACTCAACAACAACGGTTAATAGGAAACAATACAAAAAAAGGGGTTTTACATATCTTTCCTACAGACTTACCTGTGTTTTGGAAAATATCAATTTTTATACTATGAAATCGTCCACATTCTGTGTTAATTGATTCTATTTCTTTCTACATTCACACTCCTACAACCACATAATTAAACTTGCAGATTATAGTTTGTGTGTTAATTAATTATTTTGCTTTGGAAACAGCAGTTCACGCAGAAATTTGTGGGCTAATCTGGGTGCAGGTGCAGCCTGGTCAATTCATGGCTCTGGTATTCAAACTTTGAACATGGTTTCCTCTTTTTTCTAATTCCTTTCTCGTTTGCGTTTATGGCATCCTTAATTACAATGATATTGACGGGGCAA